CACACACCTCCTCTCCCCTTTATCAGTCAGCAGCTGCAACCGCATTATAGTTGTATCCAAAACTCCCCAACTCCCCTCCCCGAGCTTTCACCCCATTCCCACCGCACACTCACACATACATACATACATACACACATACATACACACGTACATACATACATACATACACACGAGAGCGCTCTCTGCCTCACCCTTGATCAGCTCCTGCTGCCGCCTCGCCTGCTCCTGCCGCCGCCGGGCGATCTCAGCCAGTGCACGTCGCCGAGCATCAGCATCCCCCCCAACACCGCCCTCGCCGGGCCCCCCGTCTGAGGCCCCTACCGCCATACCACCACCACCACCACCACCACCGGCACCAGCACCGCCAGCCGGCCCCACATCCCGGCCGCCTTTGCGGCCAGGTGGCTGTCCAGTGGCCGGTGCCGTGCGGTTGCGACCCGTGGGCCGGTCGCCTGAAGACACAGAGCAGTAGAGGGTGAAGTTAAGGGGGAGAGGAAAAGGTTGGGGGGGAAATGTAGGAATGGGAAACGAAAGGCGGGTGTTGACTCCCGTGTGGTGGTGGGGGGGGGTGTGCTGAAGGTCGCCTCCAAGGACCCGCGCTCGCAATGCAGCGGGGGAACCAACCAACTAACCAACCAATTCGTTGCAACCAACCAACCAAACTACATGGACAAATAGAGAACAGAATGGCAGGCAGGAAGACAGGCAGGAAGGCAAGTATGCAGAGACGGATAAACAGAAAGGCAGACAAACAAAGCCCAACCTGTATGTATGTAAGTCTACCTCTGTTCAAAGCCCCTACACGGTAAACACATATCGATATGAGCCCCTTCCCGCCCTTCCCCCCCCCCCACACACACACATTCAGACTCGCGCCTTGCTTCACTCCGTCACTTGCCCCTTCCTCCATCCCCCCTTTCCTCATTTCCCCCTTTCCTCCCCCCTTTCCTCGTCTGTGCTTCGTCGTGCACACACATACACACACACAAACACACACACACACCCCTTTCCCCGCACCTTCGCCCTCGCTGCCGCTGCTGCCCCCCAGCGCATCCGGCAGCCGCCTCGTCCTCCCCCGGGGGTGCTCTGTGCCGCCGGCAGCCGCCTCCTTCTCCTCCTCCTCCTGCTCCTCTTCCTGCTTTCCCACCTCGGACTTGGACTTGGAGGACCTCTTCTTCGCCCTCCCTTGAGCCCGTGCGCCCGCGGCCCTGGCCTTGCCCCTGGCCCTGCCCTGGGCTCCCTGGTGCCCTGTGACCACATGGCGACCGCCACCACCACTGCCTTCATCTCCATCAGCGCCGCCACCTCGATCATTGTCATCATCATCATCATCATTATCATTATCTTCAGATGATGAGGAGGAGGAGGAGGAGGTTCCGTAGTCGGGCATCACGACGCCCGCCTCCCCTCCCCTCCTGGCCTGCTCATCCTCGGATCCAGAATCCGAGTTGCCGCTCTGGCCCTCGGAGCTATCGGATCCACATTTCTCGGATCCACTGCTGCTGCCGCTGCCACTGCTACTGGAT